GCTGTAGACAGATGCGTCTGTTTTCAGTCATTTTAACAGAGATGCAACAGTCATTTTTAACACTACATATCGAACACTTAAAAAACATCTGAGACCTTCTAATAAGGAATGAAACTTTCACAAACCATAGCTTACCCCTCCAGGACATTCAGTCAATCAAAAAATCAGCTACAGGCACCGCAAACTACTGAATGCTGCTTTCGTTCAGTTTTTGCAGCAGCAGCTGGACGACTGAGCCCGCGAAACTTCGAACAGTAGAACACCAGGGACTCGAAGTCGAAACGTCGCGAATTCGACTATGGTCAGTTCACACTTCTTTTACCATTATGAGGTAACTCAGGAGCAGCAGTTCGTGCGAAGGAAACGAGAGACCATACGCCGCGCTCACTACTACACAACTGTAAACACTGGTTTCATAAATAAGACATTCTTGATTGCTGAGATCAAGGTGGAGCTCAGCATCACATTGCAAGCTTCGTGAAAAAAGAGTACGATACATTGTCAAGATGATTGTGGCGAAAAAGTAGTATCATTTACATATCAATATGCACTGTACTACAGAACTTCAAACAAAATTCATCATTCCACCCATGACTCCTCCATGAAAAATCATATCCCGAAAGAAGCGAACTTTTCTTCTTATTATACTGTATGGTACAGCGCTGAATAACTCAGTGAGCACAAATATTGGGTTCAATTAATGAAATCTCTTCTGGAAGTGTACGAGCGGCTAACATTCCATGGGCATCCAGTTTCCTCTGGCATTTTTTCTCTGCTGAAATTTTCGCTTTAGCACGGTTTATCAAATTCTTTTATAGTTGACAGTGTCTGAGATTTAGATGGTTCTCGATATTTCCTCAAATTTGTATCATTTCACTCATTTCTTATACTTAAAAAGAACCCTTCTATTTACTTCATTCCTGACAGCTCGCGTGGTTTCGTATGTGCAATGTTTCGGCTGTCAACGTTGACGCACCGCAGGTCAACGGTATTGCTCATAAATAACAATATTAAGCAATACTTGCCTCTAAACATTGCATTCTTCCTAAAAGAGTTCTCGCAGGACCTTCCTTGTGATGATCATAAAGAATGCTGGGAAATGACTTCTTTAAGACCAGTTCCATGTTAAACTTCTCAAGCATTCTGAAACAGACTTCCTGAAAACGGAAAGCAAAATAACCTTAAAAATCAACTTACTTTTGTAGTAGAGGAAAGTAAACAAGGTACTCGGGACAATTCACAACTTCGTCAAGTGTAAAATGATACTTAGAGGCGAACAACGGGAAGCTGTCACCTTCAACATCTTCAAACTTCAACTGACATATGCCATTTTTGAAGCTCTTTGTACCTGACTGGCGGCATAAATACCTAAAGAAGCACTTTCTACAGATTTTATAATTAAACTGCAAACTACTTAAAAATCGTACAAAAAGACAAAAAAGGTGCAAATGCAAAATGACAGTGTATGTCACATTATATGAATGGATTTTTACGGTGTATTATTCAGGCATGAATCACAATCGACACCGTTCTTTCCTTGATTTGTTGCTCAAGGTAGCAAATTACTTATTAATGCTATGGAATATCGGTCATTCTTACACTTTCATGATGAAGCCATTTCTGTCGCATTTCTTTCCATGAAATTACTGACGGGGCAAAGATCTTCATCTCTATACCATCAGCCACGAATGTCTTATTTTAAAAGATGAGAAGAGCTATGTGCCATGCATAATCCGTAGTCTTCTCCTTGTTCCTTCCCTCCCACGGAGCGGCACTCTTTTACCAACCTCTGAAGGAAGAAAAGCTAGTAATTCCAACTTGGGACCACTCGGTTCTGGGTCTGATGCTCAACCCACTGAGCAACCCCGGTCACAGGTTTCAAGGAGAATATTAACATCTGCTATTAACCTGGTTTGACATTGTACATCGACGCCATGACGGCACAATACGCACTAAATCGCTATACGTTAAGAGAAACTGTTACGTGATATATGAATGACAGCGTCCGTTTTCATATTAATCCTTTCGAACAACTTTATCGGCAATAGGTAACGGTTGCTATCCTTCAAAGTAAAGTTAACGAGTTGATGCCTTGCTAACACACTTGCTTTTGTATTCTGAGACGTGCTAGATTTTTTAATGAATAGCCGGACATTTGACCTCTCCCTATTAGCACAAGTGACATTTCTCAGACTAAACGAGTGTCACAAAAAACAGCAAACTATGTGAAATGCTCTCTTTTCGTTACTCAAATCTGTCACAGATCTTTCTTCTAGATTCCGAATAATTATTCAGAAGTAGATATTGTTACAGCAGTCAAAAGAGATCTTAAAAATTAAGCCCATCCCCATTATCGGTTTATTAGTAAACTGCGCTTTCGAAACGACCAGTAAGAATAATGATCTCTTGGGGATTCACAAAACATGGTCGCGCTGCCTTCTGCTTCTAGCGGCCCATGAGATCGCTTAATGGTATACAGTGTTTTGGCGCGGATCGCCGAATATTGTTAGTGATAGGCGTTGTGACTGCCTCCGTAAATCTGTATAATTGGACGTGGTCATATGCATGAACTGTTGGATGTAGTCCACGATTTCATATATCAATGGGAAGCTCTCCGTAACTGAAGTACAATACCGTTGGAACAATAGTTAATATTTTAATTACAATTCCATTGTGATGACTATGTAAGGTCACTAAACCGGTACCAACCACCCCTGCAACAGCTAGTCTGAACCTATATCATTGGCAGATGACCATTTACATCAATTATTTGACAGCAACCATCAAAAGCTCTCGCTGAGCACAATGCGATGCCACTGTCATCACGAGTCAAAAGAAGCGGTGATGAAATATAAACATGCAATTGGCAGCTGGTCATCTACATCAAATATTTAATGTGATCCTTCACATTACGCGCTGACCGAAAACTCTGTCGTCAAAACAGTCAATTTCAAAATTTGCACTTTTGTTTGACTTCATGAGAAATGTGTGGACAATAATTCTATGCCGACTACACTTACTTTCACCGGGTCTCAGTCATTACATGTTACCATAGTACTAAGTAGCCCTGCCATTATATTTCAAAAAAAGTTTTGCATTTAATAATAAAGTAAATTTCAAAAGTTGAAAAGTTACAACCATGAACTAAAGTAAATATAAATCTTTCTTGAGGTTTTGCATTCAAGTACTGCAGGTGCTAAAATACCATGGATTAATAGCCTGCTCAAATGATCCCCTAGGCCCCTAGAAAGAAGGGAACTGTGAGCCTACACCGCGCAAATCCAAAAATAACAACAAATGCCATTTTTTGATCAGCGGCATCGAAAACTAGCAGTTTAGCTATTAAACCCATAAATATGCAAAAATAAAACTTTTTCACTACGTAAAAATTTTAATATATAAAATATTCCATCATTGTGTCATTTCATACTTACACCCTAAACCACGCAGAAAGGTAATTATATCTCAATGAGATATCATAGTCAATCACAAAAGATATTCTTTCGTTTGAGTGACGGTATTTCTTAAATATGCCAGGTGGCTGAAGACAACAAGCAAGTGGTTCGTAATATATTACGGTGGCACTGAACTGATCAGATGGTTTATCCTGACCTGACTAAATGGTATGACCTAACCATCTGCAAATCATGAAAACCCCGACTTCCGACTAAACGGCTGAATAATGACTTAGTCGTTATTAATGAATGAACGATGACGTAGCAACCTCGCCAACCACCACAATAGAATCATAAAATAAAACTGAAATCGTCGTTCTTAACAACTGCATCGCATTGTACTCATAGAGAGCTCTCCCATGATGGGTAACATGATGGCTGAAATCAAGTAACTAAAACAGATCACCATCTGCCAATGAAATAGATTCAAACTCTTGACTGCAGGAATGCATGCTATCTTCATGCCCTCGTACAGACATCACGGTAAAATTCTTACAGAGAACTTCTCATTGATAGATAACATCACGGGGTAAATCAACTAGGAGATGCAGAAGAATATCGTCCAGCTATGCAGATTCAAAGCGGCAAAAACAACATCGAGCGCTGATGACAACCAGCAATCTGTCCCAAAACAGCGTTGGCCTAAACGTCCCATTCCAGGCAACTAAGCACCTCACAGCTCCACGTTATTTCAACACATGCACTTTTCTTACATACACCTGTGGATCGACGTATATCCACTGATATTCGAATATGTATTTGTTCGACAAACAAAATAGCGCGGTTTTGCGCCCATTCACTGCAGGTGCTAAAATACCAGTGAGCCGTTGCTTGCTTAAACGGTAACCTTAGCTGATAGAAGCAAAGGGATGATGCGAATAGGCCATGTGAATCCAGAGAAGTGAGAGAAGATAGAAGAATATTAAACTGGATCTACGATACAACGTTCATCCATTTTATTATTTTTTCTCTCGGTTGTTGAAACATCTGACAAATCTGTGATCCGGAACTGTTGTCCAAATGGTAGCAAATTCGTAAACCTTCATTCACAAGTACCGCGTAATAAATCTATTTTGTAATCTAATGATCTTGAATGCAAAAAAAAGTTTACTTTAGAATACTTTTCAATTTGATAAACATATTTTAACCATGATTTTGCCTTGTGAAGCACTGAATCGTTATGAATGTGACTACTGTATCGTTTGTCTAGGTTTAGGTTTACATTAAATTTTGGCTTTAATATACAACTACTTTCAATAAGTTCTTTACAATAGCCATTTTCTGACAACCAATTTGTTAGATTTTCCATTTCCAGTTGTAAATTGAATCGTATATTAACTTAGGAGTGCAAGACTATGACTGCAGGTTTAAAGTGACAACAAAACCATCGTTACAGGTTCCGTAGACTGCATAAAGCTTTGGATAGGGTGTGAGGAGGCGTTCAGTGGAAGTCACGTCTGTTCCACACATCTATAATTGTAAAATAAAGCACATGACTATATTCAGCTATAATTAGAGATGCATGTGCAAAACTGAAATGCAAATTGTTGATGTGCCACAATTCCAAAACTGGCCTTCGTCTTCCAATGAAGTTTGCGACTTTTCACAGTCCCCTAAAAAACAACAGAGCTCTTACACGATCCGATTTGCATCAGGAACGGTTCCGATGAAGTAGCCGCCGACCTTAAGGTTTTCGCAGGCGTTGCGCAGCATACATGTGGCCCGCTCCTCGCTGGAGAACGAGTAATGCAACGAAAACTGACAACTGCAAATGTCCAGCCGACGTTCCGGGTCACGGAATTTACTGCTGACGATAGTCTGCAAAACAACAGTTAGGAAGTCGCCATAAACCTAGCTAGACGAGCTTTGAAACACATTCAAAACTTTTGTGCTGTAACCTCTGTACAGTCAGCGCTGATGAATTCGGCTGAAAACACTTTCTCTGGTCTACCGTACCGCATCCGCTGGCACATCTCTTCGTACCTTGATTGACACTGTTTAAGCGAAAGCTCGGCAATGTCTAAATTAATCATAAAATCACTGACAAATACGCATTAAAGTCGAAAGACAGCTACAAGCCTGAACATATAAAACATGATTATTCAGGCTTACTTTTGTCACCATGCGTTATTATATCACAATATGTCAGTATCATAGACTTATGTCTTTTGTGGTGCTTGCTTGTCGTACCCGCTATGCAAGGTTAAAACAGAAAAGCTGTTCAGCCTTGTCAGGACTGAGCAAATCAGTCTTCCTGACCCAAAATTTTAAAAGGTTCCATTGGCCATTTCGTCCCAATTTAAGCACGAAACGGAATCGAGATAAAAGTGTAACATTTCAAACAACGTTTGTTTCCTAACCATCTATACGCAAAACAACAGTGCATATGCCCAAAAATCGATTTGGAGTTGTTACTAATAACGAAGAAATATTACATAATTTTTGCGCAAGTGCAAAATGTATTATAATCACTGTCCTGATTCAGTAGTTTTGGGCACGAGGTTAAGGTCGACCTTTCAGGTGTTTTATCAACAACTTTTTAAACACACAACGGTAGTCTTCATGGAGACAGAACAAGCAAAACATCATCTTAAAATCATTTGTTTTGCCTTCAAGAAAGGCACTGCTTTGAAGCCGAAACCTTGCCAATGTATGACCGAGGTTGTTCAGTCGACAGAGAGCCTGATTAAGAATCGATAGGGCCCAATCGGGTCACTCGCCTATATTCCTTTCGAGGTTGATAAATGAGCACCACTCTACGACAAGGGAACAGGAGACTACACACCATGCTTTTCACATAGCTGCTATCGACTTTGACATTAAGGATTAAAGCGTTCCTGGCTGAGGCAAAATAATGAAATTATATCGACCTTCCAACTGCTATAAGCTTTCCTTTTTCCTTCAATTTAACGTAAATAACGGTACTGTAACAGGGCCTTAACCTTGTGCCCAAAATCATTCAATGAAAACATGACATCTATTATCAAGTGCGTGGATCAGGAACGAAATACATTTCTGAAATTATCAGGAATAATATTTTCATCAACCATAGGTGCTCTCAAGAACCCAACCCCAGCATTCTGATGCAAAGAAGTGGCAAAGAAAAGTGATCGCATGATTGAGCGAAACATGGCGACGTGCACGCATGACCAACAGAAAAGAAGGACGTATTGATCACAGGATTAAGAAAAAGCACTAGTGCCATCGTCCATATAAACCTCTAAAGAAACCACAACTAAATCATTTCACGCCGTCTATTCTTTGAATGAAGGGCGACAACTAAAGGACAAGACAAACGATTGGTTCTGACGACGCAAGATGTCGAGAAGTGGAAAGCAATCTGATCCTAACGCACTTGTATGCCAATTAATGTAGTCCAGAGTAGGTACTGACATTTTGATACTGATGCAGTAGCATACAAGAAACCTCCCGCTGAAATGAAAGACGTTCAAGAGAGTACTGGACGAACAAGGGTAGTCACAAAAAGAGTATATGAAACACCAACTCGTCAAGAGAATGCAGTTCATCCAACGAACAAAATAATATTCCTTAAGCTTCATAGGTAATCAAATACCATGGCCTGTTTAAATGGCCTCTCTAGGTAGCTAGCTAGTGGCAATGAGACGGAGCAGTACGCAGTGAAATCTAGTCTTGGAGGAGTTACTCGCCAGAACAAAAATCAAATAGTGTACTTCAGGCAATTTAAATGATCAACTCCTGGAATATCCAGCGTACAAACGCCGACAGATTTGCCCCAAGATGTCATCCGTACAGAAACAGAAAGCAGTTGTTAACGGAGCGAGTTATGGGCATGATTTACAAGATGACGCATTTTAAAGCAACTTCAGTAACAACAAAAAACCAAATTTTTTCCAAAGGCGATAAATACCGAAATGACTTCTCACCTACACAAATGAGATGCCTAATTTCTCCAACTTTCCACTTCAGCAAGTCCCCACCTTTTCCACAACAGAGGTCAAGCACGGTAATGGGATGGGGCTCAACAGAACCTTTGTCTTCTTTGCGAACCCTCTGCAGTGCATCGTTGATCAACGCGCTTTTCACCCAGTTATTTAGGTTGCGCAAGAAGAATATTCGGCTTTGCGCCCTTTCCTTCAGACCAACTTCGGGTACAGAGTTATAATGTTCGGCAACGTCTGTTTTCTTGGATTCCATTCAGCATATACCTAGAGCAAATACAGCATAACGTACAAGTTTACCGCCGACGTTCTGAATTAAAATAATGAACAGGGCGACCCGTCACACAGGTGAAGGAATGCAATTTCTTTTGGCAGGGGCTAAATCAGTTTACTAATAAACACCAACCGCTAGCGAAATGAATACAAGCATCACAAACATAATGTAACAATAGTCAGAATCGAATAGGCAAGACGTTCGTCACAGATTTTGGCGGAAAATATCAGAATATAGTTCTTAAGCCAAGGCGACCATCGTCATCACGTCGTTTCTGAATCAGCAAAAGACAGTTGGGACGATACCGCCGTCTGCGTACTGGAAGTCTCACTGCCACCGCCGCCAACGCTGCTGCCACCGCCGCCGCCGCCGTTAACACGTCGTATTGCCGCCAGTTCCATGGACTGATAATTAAGGAACTCGTACTCGTCCGAATCCGAATCGCTACTGCAGCTGCTGTCACTGCGGGAGTAATTGCCATCGATGCCAGGCAAGCGGGCCACGACTTGCATCGCTGATGGACGAATGCCACAGATCATCGCGGCTGAATTCTTCGGTATACTTTCCTTTGCTTCCGCTGTAACATGACCACGGCTGTCATCGCGATTACCGGGATCAGGGAACGGTACCATTTGATCGTCACTGCCATCTAAAATACTTTTCCAGTTAAAGGATAGCCGAAAATCCTACCACAGCATATACTTTCTCACAGAGCGCAAACAACAGACTGTTGTCAAAAAATATCAGTAAAACAACTTACAGTACGTCTCATTATTATTACCACACTGATGAAAAAATTCCAAAGGGATGCTATACGGTCGCTCAAGAGGTGAGGTGGTTAAAACTATACAAGTCACTAAATATGAAAGATAGCTCACACTAAGGAAGATGCATGCACATCAGAAATGAGAGAAATAAAGTCTTATATAAGAATACTAAGTAAAAATGAATAGCTCTGACGCAGTCTGCAGTATACCGAGGTATTTAAAAATAATCCAAAAATGTGCTGTAATTTTATTTTAAACTTGCGCGCCTCATCTGCACGGCTAAATAGTAAAGCAAATTTTTGAACTGTTCCTTATTCCCGACTCATTATTACTGACATAATTATTTGTTAGGTTCCTGTTACCACATAACGCATCAGACCCAATAAGACAGACCTTAGACCTGACAGACCAAAAACTTTAAAAAATAATGATACCGCAGCAGGTCCCAATAGCAAGGGAAAATATAAACACAATACAAGAGTATCAGGTTCGCTGATATCAACGCAAGTACTCCACAAAAGCTAAACAACTTTCGCAGAATGCATAAGAAACACTGAAACAGAAAAAGAACTGCATGGAGTACTTCATATTCTTCTTCAGAGGCCGAAGCATCATGGAATTACTGTGCTATTACAGGATTTATACAGAGGTTTTATTGCCAAATAAAAACTGAAGCATTATTTAACGCTCAACTTCGCATATTTAGGGGTAAAACGCAAATTCGTTTTTCTCAAGTCATTAATATCTAACGGACGGCTTCACTAATCGTCTTGTAACAAAAACCATCAACAATCATATATGGTAACTAAACAAACATGATCACTCTATCACTAACACCATCACCGACGCGACAGAGATTACCATCATTATCATAATGATGCCCTTATTATCATTATGACGACGGCTTTCAAATGATTATCATGGCCATGATACAAACGATAGTCATTTGTACTGACTACCAAGGCCGTGACAATAATCATTATCACTGTCAGTACGATTATGACGATGACCGTTATCAAAATCCTTATGCTCGTCATGTGAAGGCATATCGTCAGAGCCACAATGATGGAGATCACTCTTGTCACTATAATGTCGATACTGAGTATCATCGTGATAAGTTTATCATCATCATCACACTGACTACAGCAATTACAGTCAGAGCGATTATAAGTTATTTTAGTGATAACAGTGATCGCAATCGTTACGACATTGACAATCTGCCTTCACATCACCAAGAAGATTACCATCCATCATGATGATCATCTTGGAGTTATTTACGATTGTGGTACTCTTGACAATTATAATAACAATCGCTTTTCACATCTCCGGATTTAAACGGCGTAGTCGCACCGCCCCTTTACTCCTAGTGGCTTAGGGGTCCGTTGCTGCAAGCATGCCACGGTTCCATGGTGCTTTAGCATATCCAGTACATGGGCGTAAAACAGTATCATTTTGTTGGCCCTACTTAAAATAGATGAGATTGTTACCCTTACTGGCGGTATGGAAAAGCGAACTGATAACGCCAGAATTAATTTTTTTGACTAAACCATGCTGCTATGCATTCTCATGGAAGTGTTCAGTTATTATGAAATTTAGTTGTTCGCTTCACCGAGAAGATAACTGATTAGCGATTATTCAGCCATGCAACATTCATATCAGATTTCCAAAAGTAGCTCTCATTTAGAAGAGAAAAGCATTAGGCAGGTCAGAACCAACAAAAAAAAGAATGAGACAAGAATGAAAAGTCATACGCGAATGTCTGTTATTAGCATATTTACAAACCAAAAATACGGTAGTCCTTGAATTTGTACGAACCTGACGTTTTCTGTCGCTTCGTTGTCGATGCTGAAGAAGTACTGGCTGAGGAAGTAGTGGCTTCACTTCTAATACAAGTCGACATTACGTGCGTACGTTCAACGATGAGGCACATAACAAACGGTTTACGCGTAATGTTTTCTCTTGATGGCGCCAGCGATCAGCTGTGCCTGTTTGGAGCAGGATGTCTTGGGCTTCGCGATGGGCTTCGTCGTCGTCGAAAGCAAGGGGGTCGGCAGCGTTATCATCGGTGGTACCTCTAGGCCAGATGAAACCATCGTCTCGTTCACCTCCTTGATCAGCTCTGTCTCCTCGTCTCGGATCTTTTTCTCCTCCTCAGCTTTCAGGTGGTCGACGAAGTTTAAGAAACTCAGCTCCTCGCTGTCCAGCTCGCGCACTATGTGTTCTAAAAGCAGGCACTCACATAACGCTCGAATGGGCACCGTCAGCAAAGAGGCAGAGACTGACTGAATCGGTGCGCCTCTTCGTATTCCATTTGCTCTTTGTCCCGCTGTTCCTTGAGTCGCACGTATAACGGGCGCGGGTCATAGTCCGGATCCGGCGCTTCTAAATTAGTTCTAACATGACAAAAAAGGGGCCTCAAAAGATGTAAATGTAAACGTCACGAAACTAAAATCCGATAACCAATGACCGAAAGACCAACATCGATGCAAGAACAACATAACTAATCAGGCTCACGTCTAAATGACATAATCAAGCTCTTACTAACCTCGATTAAGAAAAAGAGGTTAGAAGCCTGGGAAAAACAGATTTCAGTAAATGAAGCAGTCGGAACAATGTTCCTAGTTCAGAACGTACGCGACCATTAAATATAATTATTAAAATGTTTTTCCAGGCCTTAACCATCTTTCATTTAATCTATCAACTATTCTAGTGTTCATTTATTTAATTGTGACGTCATTTTGATGCAGGTTCTAAAACGCAAACATGCTGTGCAATGCACCTTCATGCTGCCAGGGACTGTCACAACGTGTTTCACTTTTCAGAGTATTGATGAACTCATAGAAGTCATGAAGTGGCTCATAGAATGTAACAATGGCAGATACAAGCCGAAGCAGCTGCGCAAGAAACGTTTGGGTACTATTGCCCAAGAATTGCCGTCATATGACTGGAACAGTCCCTGATAAGGCAAAACATTGAAATATGGTCTGTGCAAATGCTGGTTGTTCCTCTTTTTGCGGCACAAACATGAAACTTTTATCACAGTTATAGCCAAAGACAGTATCAGAACACGGTAGTAATTATAAACGGAATAGCAACGACAATTCAAACACCAAATAAACATACCCCCTGCTGCAGGTCTTCATTGTAACAAGGACGGCAACTGTGTCGAAGAGTTGTTTCCAGGTTCCTTCCCAAACACAAGGGCCATCTATTAGAGGAACTGTAAATGCCATTAGTATTGTTCAATTCAACTCAGAAAGCAGGCCTGAATCCAAATTCACTGTAGCTGCTGTGAGTAAGTCGTGACTTGCTTAAATAGTCCACTAGGCGAATTGAATCAAAGGGTGATGCGCTTAATCCGAATAAATTCGGCATCAGAAATTTATGAAAATGTTATAATTACAGGCGCAAATGGAAAGCTGAAATGTGGTAAACTACTCCAGAACATCGGGGTCGGGTTCTGTCTTTGTCTCCAAAAGACATTCTTTTACCGCACCACCTTAACAAAATTCTCACGCAATCATCGAGCTGCACAAAAGTCAACGATACTGCGTCATTTCCCTTTATCTTCCAATTTCTTTCCATTTCCTTCCCTCCAATTCTTCTTTGCTTCCATGCGTCACCTCCTTTCTTTTCCCTTATCTTCCTTCTTTCTGACTCTCTTTTTTCATTTCCATCGCAGTTTCTTTCCACTTTCTTCCTGTTCTGCTTTCCTTTAGATTTTACCCCAAATCTCACTGCTGCTGTTGCTCCACCTACTTCTGTCAAGTTTCCTATTGAAGGCACTTTAGGGATGTTCATGAGCTGGTATCC